CGGGATGTGGCGTGGCGCGGCAGTGCGGGTGCTGCGGGGCGGCGGGGCCGAGACCCCCCGGGCCTCTTCGGGAGTGGCGGCAGCCGAGCTCCGCCGTCGGCTGGAGAATGAGCTGGAGGATATCCGAGGCGCTGGCACTTGGAAGAGCGAGCGGGTCATCGCCTCCCGCCAAGGTCCCCACCTCCGCTTGGCAGGCGGCGGAGCTGGTGCGTATAAGGCGGCGGGGGAGGGCTCTCCACTACGACGCCCGTTTGCTTCTCTCTTTCTCTTTATCTTCCCCCAGGGATCCTCAACTTCTGCGCCAATAACTACCTGGGGCTCTCCAGCCACCCCGAGGTGATCCGTGCTGCCGTGGAGGCCCTCGAGAAGTTTGGTGCAGGGCTCAGCTCCGTCCGCTTCATTTGCGGTACCCAGGTACCGGGCATCGGGGCATCACCTGCTCTCGGGGAGACTTTCTCAGGGCTCTGCTCAGACTCCCTGCTTGGCACTCACATGTGTGCACAGCGCTAAGATACAGGTGGCAGGGCAGAAGAAAAGGCCTGCCAAGTCCCTGCTGGCCCAGTATCTGGAGATATGCCAGTTTAAACCATTAAAAACCCCTGTAGAGCAAAGAAACAAAACACCCCTCTGAATTTAGAAACTAAATGTCTTTTTCCCTCCTTAAGGGTCAAAATTACAGGGACTCTGACTTGAAACACCTCTATCAAACATACTCTGATGTATCCCCACTGGAACCCATTCAGAGACCCAGTTGGGTTCAGTGCAAAGAAAACTCAGAGCTGCTCCCCCATGTGTGGGGATCTTGGAGTCTCCCTGCTGTGCTTCTGGCATCCAAACCCATAACCACATTTTAAGACTCTGTTTGCAAACATTTTCTGAACACAACTAACATCTCTCACACACACCCCTTTTCTGTATAAAACCTGGATGTTTCCTCCCATTGCAGTCAGCGTCTAACAGCAGCAGGCAAGCGAGAACTTGTGCTGCCCCAGTGGTGACGCTCGCTCCTCTCTTCTCTTTAGAGCATACACAAGGACCTGGAGGAGAAGATAGCACGTTTCCACCAGCGGGAAGATGCCATTCTCTATGCCAGCTGCTTTGATGCCAATGCTGGTATCTTTGAGGTTTGTAGGGCTTTCCTCGATGTGCATGGAGGAGGAAGGTGTTGGCGATGTGCCTGCCATGCCTTCCAGAGGCTCTGATGTGAGCTTTGTGCCACAGACTAGATGGCAGTGACTGGTGGTGGAGAACCTTGACTTGGTGCCCTTGGACTGGGGGAGCCACGCAGAACTGGTTAATTAACCCTCACCTCCCTCTTCACCAGCCAGCTCTAGGTTTTGGGGAGGGCTTCTGTTTCCTGGGGGGTTTGTACTCCACTTTGAAGTGTAGGCAGGGGGAAGGGGTTTTCCCCCAGGCTTGCTAGGGAAGGAGAGGGAGGTTTTGAGCTCAGAAGTCACAGGCAAGAGCCTGGCCTAAGGAAATCAAGGTATAAGGTGGCTGGGAAGAAGAGTGGAAAGTTTAGCAGTGCCAGGAGAGATGTGGCAGCTGCAGTCAAATGCAGCTTTGTCCTCTGCACTGAGAGGCTGGAAGATCTCGGTGAGGTGGTGCCCTGGAGCAAAGGGTGATCCTTTCTGTTTGGCGTGGCCAGGCTCTGCTGACCCCAGAGGATGCAGTGCTGTCGGATGAGCTGAACCATGCCTCCATCATTGACGGGATCCGCCTGTGCAAGGCTAACAAGTACCGCTACAAGCACATGGACATGCAGGACCTGGAGGCCAAACTGCAGGATGCACAGGTACGGATGTCTGCTCCCACTCTGATGTGAGGGTGCTCACTTAGCTGTGCTACCTGCACGGTAACCAGTCCTGAAGGATGAGCTCCGCCTTTTCCTGTGCCATATATATTGTTTTTGCTGATAGGCACAGGTAGGCATGGATGGGTAAGGTGAGGAAGCAGCTGGTTGCAGTGCAACCTCCCTGTCTTGGTTAGATGTATCCACTCCCTACAGGAGTTGGACTATGTCCCAGTCTCCTTCTCCAGCCCCTCTCCTCAGGGTGACATCTTCACCCTTGGGAATGCTGGTCTCCCTCCCACAGAAGCATCATCTGCGGCTGGTAGCCACTGACGGTGCCTTCTCCATGGATGGTGACATCGCACCCCTGAGGGAGATCTGCCAGCTGGCCCAGAAGTATGATGCCCTGGTCTTCATTGATGAATGCCATGCCACAGGCTTCCTGGGACCCAATGGCAGGTAAGTGGCTGTTTGGATCCTGTTTCTCCCCCTGAGATACCTCTGATGCAAGGTTAAGGTGCTGATGACCAACATATTTTTGTGGGGGGACTCCTGGAGCCGCCATTTCTTGAAGGCTTTGCACCCCACCTTTGGGGCACCTGAGGGGATTGAAGGGAGATACTTTAGCACTGACCCATCCTAATGTGACAGCTGCTTCTTTGTGTGTAAGGGATGATGTGACTGTCTCATTTGCCTCTCCTGGCAAGCAGTTGGACTTCCAGATTTCTGAATCCTTCTCCTCTCAGATATCACTCTCAAATGCTTGGGTCTTGGGGGTTTTGTGGAGTTAGCTTGCACAGATTGATTAATTCCCTTAGTGCAGCTTTTTCCTCCATCCCCTGAAGATCCTCCAGGTGCCAGGTTGTGCACTTGCTTGCAGGTGTGTGCCGAGAAGAGATGCTTCATGTGCTTGTTTTGTTCAGGCATGTGAATGCCAAGCATTCTGTTGGATGATCCTTCCTGCTGGAAGGTAGAGACCCATGTGAGGCCACACCTGTA